CTTGCCTCCAGAAGTTGTGAATGTCCTAACACTGGAAGTCTTTAAGAAGATGTTGGATAGCCATTTGTCTGAAGTGGTATAGGGTTTCCTGCCTAGGCAGGGGGTTGGACTAGAAGACCTCCAAGGTCCCTTCCAACTCTGCTATTGTATTATTGTATATTAGTGACATTGCTGTTTTCATTTTTAGTGGGCAGTGGATAAATCACCTGGTTTTATTTTGGAGGGGCTTCTTGGAAACTCAACCCTGGGACTGATCTGGACAGCCAACTGCTTTTTAAACAGCCATGCTTCATGGCGCTCCCAAGCAGGTCCTGAGCCCAGCTGCACTTGCTGGACTTAATCCTTCAGCAGGTGACAGTGACAAAACCAAGTTCCTGTAAATAGTGGAAGGAGGAAGAGACAGTATGAAGCATAAGATTTAAAAGCTTGTCACTGCATGCATTAAAAATAAACTCACCTGTTCACCTGAATTGTTCTGATTAGACCAGTGCCATGCAGTTAAATGTGTGCTGGAGAGTTTAGGATCCTAAGAAGCTGTCTTATACAGCAATTCCAGCCTGCTACCCTGTTTCCCTGAAAATAAGAGCTCCCCAGATAATAAGCCCAATCAGGCTTTTGAGTGCATGCGCTAAAATAAGCCCTCCCCGAAAATAAGCCCTCCCCCAAAAATATTGCAACACAGCAGCAGCCATGAGGTGACCACACTCACTGCCTCCTGCACCTCAATAATAAGAACTCAACAATAAGGCCAAGTGTTTATTTTGGGGGAAACATGGTAGTTTATTCGTATTCTGGTCACCTATGTGATTGATCTGGTACCCGAATGAATCAATTTTATGGGACTGAATGGTAAACTAAAACAAAAGTCTGGATTCACACAGTAAACTAAACCACTTAGATGGAAGTTAACCATGGTTCAGCAGAGTTTGTAGACTCTTGGTTCTTTCAACAGAAGGCTGAAAGCTGTAATACCATTGGAAAAGGGGTGGGGTTTGTGTGGCAATGTGACAATACAGATATTCTTCGACCTATGACCAGAATCAAGCCCCAGATTTCCTTTGCTAAGTAAGGGGGTTATTAAGTGAGATTTGCCCCCTTGTATACATTTTTGATGTGATTGTTAATGTGAATCATGTTGTTAAGTGAATCTGGCTCCCACACCCCCTACTTTGTTGGAAGCCAGCTGGGAAGGTTCCAAGGACAGTGCAAATGTTATAAATACATGCCAGTTGCCAAGTTCTCAAATTTTGCTCATGTGACCGTGCAGGTTTATGTGTGAAAACCCGTCATAAGTCTTTTTTCCCCCCAGTGGCGTTGTAACTTTGAATATTCACTAACCAAATACATGCCAGTTGCCAAGTTCTCAAATGGTTGTAATCTGAGGACTATCTGTATTTTTTTCATCACTTCCTCTGTCCGCCTGTAGGTGCTGCTGATTGGATTATTTCTTTAAAAAGAAATACGATTTTAAATAGTATACCTGAAGTGCCGAATGTCTTCACTTTTATTATTTCTCTAAAACGTTCATGTTTTCTGTCCTCGCCCTTTTCCTTCTCTTAGATGATGAAGATTCGTTTTTGCTGCCAACCTTGGCAAAGGAGAACAGCCACAATAGCAGCTTTGAGCTCATCGGCTCTATGATTCCCTCTTATCAGCCATGTAATAAGCAAATGGGACGTGGAGGCCACTTTTTCTCTGCGGTTGGAGCAGCCCGCTCTCCTTCTCCGGGCTTCTTCAAAACAAGCTTCCTCAGCTCAGCTTCTAAGGTAAGCCACTGTTGCTTTAGTCTTTACAGCATGTTAGTTTGATGCTAAATGAATTAGTGAGAGTACAAAGACACACAATGCAAAAGGATGAAGAAAGTGTTGCACGTTTTAAATGGTGCGAGAAAGTTTCTAGAGGAGGTTCTGCATCTTGTAACTGGGGTTCGAATCCCCCACCCCTCCTGCCATCCCTCTTATACCACCAACAGTATCAATGATTACTAGGGCAGTTCTCCTCTTATTGGAAACCCTGAAGCCGGTTGCGCCAGGTAATCAAGAAACACCTCGTGGCCAAGCTATACACAAAACTATCTAAATGCAAATTTTACCACTCCAGCCGCGGCTACCTGGGGTATAGAGTCTCCAGTGAGGACGTAGAGATGGACCCAGGTAAAGTCAAAGCCATCCTAGACGGGCAGCCTCCTCGCACCCACAAGCAACCCCAAAGCTTCCTAGGGTTCGCAAACTACTACAGATAGTTCATAGTATAGTAGAGCCTTTATTGTCATTGCACATCATGTATAAAACGGAATTGGTTTTAGCCTCACTGATACAATCCCTGGCAACAAATACAAACAACATAAATAGTATAAAGAATAATCCCTATGCATAGCAATTAGGAAAAGAAAAAGAAAGAAATTTTTTTTAAAAGTCATACATTTCTGTGTGTGCGTGGAGTGATTGTGGTTGTGTTTAAGAGGCTTGACAGCCCAAGGATAGAAAGTATTTTTAAACCTGTTTGTTTGGCTGGCTATGCTTTGATGTCTTCTGCCTGATGGTAGAAGAGCAAAGTGACACTGACCAGGGTGTGAATCATCTGAGTCTCTTCCTTACTCTGCTAAAGCAGCGAGACCTGGTGATGTCACCCAGTGGTGTTAGAGGGCAACCAATGGTTTCTTGTGCTGAATTGATCATGCTCTGTAGTGCCTTCCTGTCTGCAGCTGTTAAACCAGCGTACCATCCCCTCGTTTGCTGTAATCTCCCGCCTGATTACTGAACTATTAAAAATGGGAGGGGTAGGTGGGGTTAAAACGCAATCCAGGCAACCACTACAGTGGACCCCAGAGTGCCAGAAGGCATTTGAGGCACTCAGAAGACGATTTGCTGAAGAGCCAATCTTCAAACTCCCAAACCCAGAGCATCCATTTATCATTCAAGCAGATGCCAGCGATGTGGCAGTGGCTGCAGTTGTCCTCCTGCAAAAGAATGCAGAGAGTCATCTGCAACCCTGGGCCTAGACCTCCAAGAAACTGACAGTAAGATCATTTCACTGCAACTGCTTCATTTAATAGCCAAATTGCTGGTCCCAATTTGGTCATTAAATGAGGTCAGTGGCTAAGACGCTGAGGTTGTCAATCAAAAAAGTCGGCGGTTTGAATCCCTAGCGCCGCGTAACGGAATGAGCTCCTGTTACTTGTCCCAGCTTCTGCCAACCAAGCAGTTCAAAAGCATGTAAAAATGCAAGTAGAAAAATAGGAACCACCTTTGGCATTGAGTCCTGCCAGCCATATGACCACGGAGACATCTTCAGATAGCGCTGGCTCTTCGGCTTTGAAACGGAGATGAGCACCGCCCCCTAGAGTCGGGAACAACTAGCACATATGTGCAAGGGGAACCTTTGCCTTTAGTTTTTGACTTACAACCATTAATGACTGCTCAAAATTACAGTGGCGCTGGAAGAAATAACTTACAACTGGTCATTCCCAGGGTCACATGATCAAACTTCGGGCACTGGGCTGTGTTTATGACAGTTGCAGCATCCTGGGTCATGTGACCATCGTTTGTGACTTTCCCAGCCAGCTTCCATCAAGCCAACGCAAGCCAGATTCATTTAACGACCGCACAATTCACTTAACAGGTTGCCTGCGAGTGGGTAGGCAGCAATATAAAATTTCCAAATAAATAATAACTGGTGATTCGCTTAACAACCTTGGCATAAAAGGTTGTAAAATCAAGTGTGGATCATTTAACAATCTCTTTACTTAGCAATGGAAATTCTGGTCCCCGTTGTGATCGTAAGTCAAGGACTACCTCTAATTTCAAGTGTCCTCTGATATTCTTTCCTCTGTCTCCTCCTCTCACCTGTTTACTTTCTGATGTGGGTTGAAGATCTGGCCTGTATTAATGACTTTCTATTTTGTTTGGGATCTACGCAGAGTTCAGGCAAAGCATCGGAGCCATCACTACCCATCGAAGATTCCCAGGATCTCTACAATGTTACACCGGAGGAGAAAAGCCCAGTTCCAACCGGGGGGAGGTTTCAGTTCCAGTTCTCCCTAGAGGATGACACGCAGAGTCAGTTGCTTGATGCAGATGGGTAGGTAGCAGAGAAATACAAAGCATTGATTTAAAAAAATGTAAGGTGATAACAGACTAATGCTAATGCTGACGAAGCTATGCAGGAACCATGAAAAGAAAATTGTACTCAGATCGATCCTGAGAAAGGAAGACAGGAGAAAGAAACTCAAAATAATCCTATATTACAGGGGGTCAAACTCTCATCATCACGTCCTCGCATGACCAGGGGTGGGATTCAACCGCTGCAGGTGAACTGGATGCTAAATTTACATCTGGTTCGCTGAACCGGTAGTTGCAAGCACTGGCTGGTCCCGCCCACCCCGCCCTTCTCAGGAGTCTCCACATGGCCCGTTTTGGATGCCAGGCAAGTGCAGGGCCTGGGCAGAGGCTCTGGGAGGACGAAAAACAGACGTTTTCCGGAAGTCCAGAAATGAGCCCATTTCTGGCCTCTGGAGCCCGGGAGAGGCCGTTTTCGCCCTCCCGGAGACTCGAGGAAAACCTCGGGAGCCTGGGGAGGGCAAAAATGCGCCCTCCCCACCATGGTGCAGGAGGCCAAGATGGCCATGCTCACTCAGCAACCAGGCAGAGAACTGGTTGCTAAAAAAATTTTAATCCCATCCCTGCACGTGACGTAGTGTGACTTTCCCCCCCTTTTGCTAAAACGGGGATAGGTGTGGCCAGGGTGTGACGCATTTGGCCTGTGGGCCACGAGTTTGACACCCTGCTATATTTATTCGGTTCAGTATAAGAAAAGGCAGAGGGTTAACTTGCCAGATTTTAAAGATTCCGTTATTCTGTTTAGTGTTCTTAAGCTGCATTCCTGAAATCCTTGTACCCTTTCCTCTCCTGGCCTAGCTTAAAAGGGCTGACATATAAGAACTGAAACTCACATTATTCTAGATCAGTGTTTCCCCAAGCCAGAATACTGCTGGCTGTGGAGTAGTGACGGTTGTGGAATTCTGGGAGTTGAAGTCCACACATCTTAAAATGGCTACGATTTGGGAAACACTGTTCTATATGGATTTCCAAGTCCAAAAACTAGCAGATTCACTTGGTGGTGGTTGGCTTGTTTATTCTGGATACAGCCAGCAGTTGCTGTCTGTTTGATAAACCATGGTTTATTAAACAAATCCGTGCGGGAGGGGGGGGGGCTATCCGAATTGGCCTTAAGGGCACTTTATAAAATCCACTCTTGACTTTCAGGTTTTTGAAAGTTGGCCCTCACCGGAACAAATATCAGTCCTGCAAGAGCCGTCTGCCTTTGGCCAGCATGGACGAGAATGCGATGGATGCCAACATGGGTGAATTGTTTGATCTGTATTCTGGGCAGAACCAACAATCTCCTAACCCAGGCAGCGGCAAGAAGTCAGACATGGAGGAATTGCTCCATCTTTGCTCAGGGAAATTTCCATCTCAGGGTGAGTTGGTGTCTCCTCTGAAAAGTACAAGAGGGATAATTGCTATAATTAAGAGCACAATGAAGAATCCAGTTCTGGTCCCCATGATACAAAAAAGATGTTGAGACATTAGAAAGAATTCAGAGAAGAGCAACAAAGATGATAAGGGGTCTGGAGGCTTAACCGTATGATGAATGACTGAGGGAACTAGGTGTGACTAGTCTAACTAAGAGAAGGATTGGGGTTATATGATAACCACCTTCCAGTACTTGAGCAATTGTCGTAGAAAAGAGGGGGGTCAATCTATTTTACAAAGCATTTAAGGGCAGGACAAGAAATAAAAGGTGGAAGATCATAGGACATCCAACCTAGAATGATGTTGTGGCCTGCTGGCTGGCAGCAGAGCTGGCAGCAAAGTTGGGACAGTGAGGAGGTTGGGGAGGAACATGGGCCAGTCTGGGGGTTGAGGAAAGCTCAGACGAGGGCTCTGCCTAGGTGGCCGAGAGAAAACTAGACAGCAGTGAGGCAGAAGAACAGCTGGAGCCCGTTCCCAGTGTGCACATGCATAGAGCTGCCAGAACACAAGAACAACTAAGAAAGCAGGGTCTACTTGGGAGTAAAGTCACAAGTCACTTGGAGGTGATTGGCCCCTCCCATAGGAAACAAAAGAGGAGCGAATGGGGAGTGGGCTTTTGCAGGAAACAATTCATTTGGTCTGAAAAGTTCTGTTAGTGATTATAAGAGACTCTGTGTCAAGTTTTGTTTTGCCCTGTGTTGTTATCTGGCAGCTCTCTCCAAACGAGATAAGGTTCGTGTGGATAAACATTCCTCTGAAAGACTGTTTGCTAAAGCCTTGTTGACTATGAATGAAAGGAATTCACAGTCATGTAAATAAAAGAGGTTTTGCAGGGACCAAGACTTTGCTTCTTGCTTTCTAAGGAAGCCTGGGTCAGAACAAACGAAGGAGAGATTTCTCAACAATTAATCTGAAAAAGCTTACTTCTGGAAATTGTG